CTACTTCCATCGATAGGATGAGCAAAATCGAATGAATCTACCGCTAGAACATGAAAATATACACTGCCACACTTGTTTTTGTGTGTCGTCACAACGTGTGTGTGTGTGTGTGTGTGCGTGTGTGCGTGTGTGCGTGTGTCTGAGAGAGAGAGAGAGAGAGAGAGAGAGAGAGAGAGAGAGAGTTTTTTATCCATAGGATGAGCAACAAACTGGCCAATGGGTAAGTCTCCAACCCTGCGGCTCGAACGAATCTTCCGCTAGAACACAAAAAATATACACTACTACATGTGTGTGTGTCACGGTGTGTGTGTGTGTGTTTGGTGAGATGAGTCCATCGCACCTCGCAATGCAACAAGCCGCCTTTATATAAGACACAACACACATAATGCCAATAACACCGACATCACAACATCAAACGAATCACACCCTGATCCAAGCGAATATTACATTCGACTGGGTATGCACGACCTCACTGTCTTCCCTAAAAAGATGCAAGGATTGGAGCCCGAGGGCACTAAGCCGTGAGCTGAAACGAACAATACACAACAACTAGGGGAAGGCAGAAAAAAAACAGCAAAGGAAAAAGGAATGCGGCATCAACAAAGCGCGAAGGCTGGAGGGCAAGGGGGAGGAGGGTGGGCAGACAGACAATATGGCACAAAGCAAACAGCACACGGCAGCAAAGCATATAGGTTGGAGGGCATGGGGGAGGCAGATGGGCAGATAAACAGCACATTGAGCACAAAACACCAAAGCACACTGGGTAAACTTGAAAGGCATGGGGTAGACGGATGGGCAAGCAAACAGCATAAGGCAGCAAGGGAAACAACAACAAGACAAACGACGACAATGCAAAAACAACACCCGAAAAAAAATACAAGCATAAACAAGGTAAAGACTGAAAAAAATGAACACTGTCAGATGATAAAAGATTGTTTTGTTGGAGTTGCACTGACTCATCAGGAGGCTGAACCCTCGATAATCTAGAATCTCCATATTTGATGGTTTGGGTCATGAACCCTTTGACCCTTGTTGAAGGCAGACTGTCCCCCAAGAGAAACATAGCAGCGGGCAGCAACCCTGTGGAGCACTAGGCAACATAGTGGAGGCAACATGGCTAAACAACACCAAAAGCGACTGCAAGGAACGACATGGCACACAGGACATGCGGCGCGGCAACCGTGTAGTGAAGCACAAGAAAACACAAACAAGGCAACCACACTGCAAGGGTCGACAGGGCGAGTGGACCAGCAGCTGGTCAGCCGTGGAGCGAAGCACAAGGCAACCATCCAACAAGGCCCACAAGCAGCAAACACGGGAGGCACGACCACCAGAAGGACAGCAAGGCAGCGGAGCAGCGAAGCGCAAGGCAATACCAACCACACGGCCACACCACACAGCGAACACATCAACCTGCAAAGAACCTCATGCGACGCAAGCGGGACAGGCAGCAGAGCAGCGGTGGAGCGCAGACGAGGCCGTCCACACATCCAACACGGAGCAAAGCAGCACATGACCTACTCACATCAAGATTGAACCCCGCAGACTGTTGGTTCCCACCACCCACTGAGCCAGGGAGTCACTCTGACGAGCATCCGTCATCACCTACAGGCAACACAGACATCCCGAACCAAGCGGCCCCCATAAGAGTGCAGTAGGCACTCCAAACGAGGAACCACCGACTGTTTGGCACTACTAAAGGGTGCTAAGGTGGGCACACAAAAAAAACATAGAAAAAATCAGAGGGAGGACAGACAACAGAAGAAAGACTGACATACAAAAAACTGATTGTGTGTGTGTGTGT